TGAGATGTTCTTCTTCATCTTTGGTTTTCCAAGGCTTTCTCTGTAATTTTGAAGGCTAGAAAAAAAAGAATCATTGTGAAGGTCAAGGTTTTTAGGTAAATCGAGATACTCCGGGAGATGGAGTATTGGGAAAACCTGGTACACTGGAATGCATCAGATCCGAGGGTCATACGAATAGATTTAACCAAGAGGTTGGGTTTGTCAATTAATACATGTAGGAATTAGTGATGTATTTAATGACCCTTGGTGACTGCATCTTGTGTTCTTTTTACATCTCTCCAATTATAAGAATATTAACAATTGGGAAGGAACCAAATTTAACAGAACCTGAAATAGAGACTTTTTATCCACAGAATAAGATACCTGTACAAAGTCAACTCCCACGTACATCAGTCACTTCCTCTAAGAGACCGCTAGCTCTTTCTCCTTGCCCTTTGCTGGCTGGCACTGTTAGTCTGGAAAATCTGCCTTTTTTCTCACTTTAGTGTGTGCAGCTGCATGGTTGTGATGAAAAATGAAATCCCTTTTGCGTAGGACAGGCATTGTAAGTGTATCCAGCACAATTCCTTATGCTCTGTATAGTGTTCACGTATCTGGTCTTTCAGAGGATCTCAACCCGGGCCATTGATTGTTTTTTTGTTTTGTTTTGGGGGTATAACTGAAGTCATATAAGCAAAACTATAATTAGCAACAGTATTTTATACTCTACTTCTCCTGTGACACATTTGCTTTTTAAGCATACGGTATTCTGAATTTCATCAGATGCCTTTATATCAATTATACATTTTGGATTGCATAATCTTTGAATAATACTATAAATTCAAGGAACCTAAAAGACTATTAAACAAGTGCCGGGATATATTTATGGTAGCTACATGAGCAATACGCTCTGCTTAGTATATAATAGCAGCCAAAGCACCATATCTATTGCAAATGGTATTTGAACGTTCTAATGCCAGCAACTCTTGGTGAGCTTTGACTGGAAGCTGCCTGCAATTGATAATGCAGAATGAACAAACACAAAAATCTGAAAACCTTTAACAGAGTTAAGACTGCAACATTGGACAGTTAAGGCTGACACATCCCAGAACGGAACAACCACAAGATCACAGGGACACAGATCAGAGTTTTCTGTTTATGTACAGTCATACAACCAGAATTGCTTAGTAAACTTAGCATGCACAATGCACTGGTTTTAGTCTAAAAACTAAGAACATTTTTTATGATTAATATTTTGGCAAAGGATATTGCCTGTAGCCTGGTATTTGGAATAAGACTGCCAGGGCGTAACACAACTGAGCTCAGCATACAGCAGGCTTGTTACAATTGATTATCTGTATTATTTTGCTGTTTATCCAGCTGGAGGCATGCCACTAAGATCAAGTGACAGTGTCATAAAAGCCTTTCTTGGTTCAGGAATTTCCTGATTCGCTTCTCAACAGAACTACAGCTGAATGATGCATTCTAGGTCATCAGGACTGAAGCTCGGTTACATGCGGGCTCGCTAGTATTGGAAACTGAAAATAACTGACCGATTTTCAACATCCCTATGAAAGAGCTGAACGTGTCATTGTCACTAAGCACACCCAGTGATGCTTGGTTTTCAGTGAGATAATATGCTTGAAAACATGCATACCGCAGGCCAAGAAAAGACTTCACCCATTTGTTTCTTGGATTTGCTTTACACCACCCCCCCTGGTGTGGAAGGTGGAAAAAAACAAGAAATGAGGAACAAAAAACAGTCTTCAACTGATAGGTAGGTGCTACCATCAACTGAACACTAATCAACAAAGAACTTGTTAGTACTTGCCCAGCAGATGAGATGTGGCAGGTTTTATATTTTAACAGCAAAATTAAATCAGAAGAAGGTTTGCTATTCCTTACAAAAAAATACTGTTCATGCAATGTTGTTATTTTTATCATCGACATCTCTCTTACATTTCATTAACACCTACTGATTTTTAAACACATAGTGTGCGGTGGCAGATAAAAATTTATACCAAGAGCCATTCCTCATTGTATACACCTCTTTCTATAAAGATAATTCCATAAGACCATACAAAGATATGGAGAAGTATAGAATTAAAGCATATTTCCCCACTAGCCAAGGACAGATCCAAATCCAGAACTGGAACAAATCCAAATCCATGCATCAGGCAATGCTAACTAATATTGGTCATGCTACTGAATTTCTTCAAACTGTTAACTTACACAATAGCGTTATGTTCACAGACTTCTACTGACAGCTGCTCTGTGTAACCAATGAGAGCTCTACAGAGCACTTTTCACTGTGTAAGAAAGGCAGCAATCATGGTTGCTTCATGCTGGAATGGGAGAAAAAAATATTAAGAAATGAGTAAATCTAATTCTGATTCAATATTTTAAGAGAAAGTTTTCTGACATAGGTCCCATAGGCTGCCATGTCCTGACTGGGAATGGTGTGAGATTGCTCTAAGAAAAGAAAGGGATTTTAAAAACAGCAAAAAAAAAAATTAAAATAAAATAAAAAACAACAAACAAAACGGAGAAAGAATATGCACAAATAGGATTCATTAATAATACTGCAGCAGGCACGGGAATCGTTGAGGACTGGTCTCAAAACAGTGAGAGCAGGAGACTTTGGAACTGAAGTATGAAGCTATGCTGAGACTATGAAGGAAAAGCTCTCACACTCATTATCCAAATGATATCCAAGCTGTAATAAGAAGCCTTGCTGGCATTTTGCAAGAAAAAATAATTTGCTTTTAAAAAAAAAAAAAAAACTGTAAAGGGAAAGAAAAAGTCCCCAAATGACCATCTAATACTGCACCTCAAATTATTCAACAGAATTGCACATGCTGAATTAGGAGCTGAGGGCCAAAGAAACTTACCTACACAAGTGCAGAACAGCCTCACCAAAGTAACCAGGATTAAGGTTTTCCTAGAAATCGCTATGATTTTCGGAGCTGTCAGAACTTCTAATTGGCTGCTTAAGGTTGCTTACAAAAAATGTGCCTCAAACCTGATGATTTTGGAGATGCAGCACTTCCTTATAATACCCATTGGTATCCTCAGGAACACATGTAGGGACATGCTATTTTTACCTGGAATTTCTTAGCAGTAGCATAACAACCTTATCAATCTATGTTATCGAGCACATAAACCAGTTTTCAAAAAAATTCTTTTTTCCTCCTATGAGGTCGGTTATAAAAAAATATTTAACCAGAATAAGAGGAACAAAAAGAACATCCCACAAGTCATAGCTCTGTGGATGAAGTGTATGGGGTTTTGTGGTAACTGAGCCATGGCTGACAGGAGGAAGGACAAGTTGCAGGAGCAATACAAAACTTTTATCAGGCCCAACCTGAGAGTACAAAGAGCCACACACAGAATTTCACACATCGAGCTTCACTTTCTTCTTTTGCCCCCCTGCTTTGAATTCACTAGCTTGGACTCCAGGCTTTTCTGCACCAAGTTTATCCACAGCTCTGGTTCCCAACATCTCCACCGATGCCAACCTGTTCTCAAGGCAGGCCTGAGGAGCCTCACCTTCTGCTGCTTTTAACATGGGTTCGTTCACAGTGTCCGTACCATTTTGTCAGTGCCTGATTTAGCCTGCAAGCTCTTTGAGCCCAAGCAGGTGCCCACACCAGTGCTAGCAGGTACGGAGGCAGAGTTGTGCAGTTTTCCCGAGAAATCAAGGCAATACTCAGAGAACATGCCACCTCCCTGGCAGGCCCACAGCTTCTTACATGATACCCTTAATATCAGGGACATGGAATCCACCTGCTGGAAACTAAAGCCAATTCATCTTGCTCCTTCAGAGCTTCACCCAGAGAGAATTACCAATTGCCACATTTGCAGAGTCACAAGCAGATTGCTTAAATTCTAGCAATTTTTGAAACCAGAAAATAACAACCATGCAGTCATGAACACCATTTAGAAAACCCAACACCTCTCAGCTCCTCTCTAAAGGACAACAAGAATTGTTTACATTTAAGTTTAAGTTAAATTAAAATTAATGCTTCTATCTCTATGACTAAAATGTACCAAAAGCCAAGGCATAGATTTATCTGCAAGACTCTGGTGCTGATAATGCGAGGACTACATCAACACAGCCTACTTGGTCACATCCCTGAAATTGTGTGGGCTGTATAATAGTCCCTGAAATGCTGAGCAGCCCTCCCCATTCAGCCTGCACCCATGTCCAGATAAACTGGTAAGAGAAATTCCCTCAAGTCTGATTAAGATGAAATTAAGCTAAGAACCCTGTTAATAAGAAAAAAAAAAAATATATATATATAGCAGCTGTCAAGGGGAGAGTAAGGAATTATATCCTATGGAGGTCAACAGCTACCCATAGGGCAAACAAAGTGAGCAAGGTAGAATGTGGCTTTAATGGGTGTGAATTCACTTGTGTAATTGTTTCAGATGGAGGCTCATGAGCAAAGGAATTAATCTCAAGGTGAAGTCACCTTTTTCAATTAAAAAAAATAAACATATCACTTAGAGAGTGCAGATTTTAACATTTATTTTTTTTAAACTCCAATTTCCATTTTTTCCACAAGCAGACTTTGTTTAACAGTAGTTCAAGAAGGATTATAGTGCTAACTACAGTTAAAAGGAAACATTTTGGCACAAGACAGTGCCAAAGAAGTAACAAAATAAACAGAATAAATAACCCGCTTTACATATGCTGAACAAAACAAGAGTAACATGCAGTAAACTTAACAAAAGTCATACTCTGTACAACAGCATAAGGTAGTCCATACTAAATAGTACTCTTATGTCATATTACTAAAATACATGTATTAGTAAAAATAGAAACTTTAACAAAATGCTTAATTCAAGCAATACAGTGATGCAATATGAATCAACTCAAGAAGTCCAACGGTTCCAAAGAAGCCAGAGATAGTGGTGAGTAAGCACACAACAGTGTACAAGATGACGATCTCAACCAAGAGGTTGAACCTAGTGGTTCTTCAGCCACATCTGTGTTTGGTTGCCCACTGGAAACTGTGTCACATTGACATTTTCTTGAGCTTATGGCTGTTAAAAGAATGAGAGAACACACGTAAATTATGACCTCAGCCACAGGTCAATTAGAGGTTTCTCTCTCCAAGATATAGCACCTCCTGAGAGAATAGCTCGCGTAGAAAAAGCAACATGTGACATGACTGTCCCCGAGAAGTCTCTAAAAAGGAGTAGCCATGTCTGACAGGAGATGGAAAGACAAATGTGTACAGCGTTGCCACCAGAAGTGGCATTCAGGAGATATAAGAAACAGGCTTTCATACATGATTTGTTTTCATCAGTCCAGTAATATTTAGATTTTTATATTCCTACCTCAGGAAAAGAAGATGCTTCTTCACCCAGCCTTCCTTAGGATTTACGCAGGCGTTCTTTCCACTGTAGGTGTGGAAACTGGAAAAGAAATACGGATAAAGAGATCAGTAAATCATTCAAAATCTCTGCTAGTAAATACTATGAAGATGCATTTGGTGAAAAACATGCATCATAGATACTCTTTGTAACAAACAATAGCAACTGCTTTTGTAAATGCCAGTTAGATATGGGATGCTCCACAGCTCCTCCGATACTATATGAACAAAAAGAAAAACCTAATGAAATTTGAACTTGAAATTCAGGCTCAGGGATCATTTTTTGCACCATAATGTTGTGTTCAATCTATTGGAATTCTTGAGACAAAGAACTTTGCTGGATGCCAGAAAACATTTGTGAGACTAAGGAGGATAATTGCTATCAAGCTAAGGTGGCAGATCAACATTTAGGAGGGCTAAAGCCTTGTGGAAAAAAAAATCTGATCTCTGTGAATTAAGAAAACTTGTTTCACTTGTGTGTCTTTTAACAGGTTTGTCAAGGGAACAACCTGTGTTGGCTAGAGTGGCCCTCAGCTGGAGATGAAATATCTCTTTGTTTGCACAGCTGATTTCTAGTCAGATTTATTATTTACATTGTACAGCTGTCCTATGGGTTAGTAGTCCCTGACAACCAGAGGTTGTGTGTTTTGTTTACAGGCATTATCTACAATTTATTCAGTTAATTTAACATTTTGAAAAAGCAAGAAAATAATAAAGTTCAAATCGTTGTTTCTGCCCAAACAGACATCCTAAGTTTAATACATGTCAGAAAAAAAAGAGGATCTTCTGAGAAGTAACTTACATGATTGCATGGATATCGCAGACTTCACTGGAGAGCTGTTCAGTGTAACCCTTCAGGGCCCACCGAGGCAGACGCACTTTGGTATAAGACAGGCAGCAATCCTGGTTGCTTTGTGCTGAAATGAAAGAAAATGACAGAATTAATAAAACCCACTTGGACCACACTACCACGCTGCCCAAGGTATTTGCTCCCCAGCGACAGAAGAGGAGGACTGGGCAGCATACTTTGCTGAAACAATTCCCTTCCACCTCACCCTTGTCCTGCTGCCAGCTGCGAGCATGCACACTCTGCCATGGCTGGTGTGCTGCCGAGGGGCACCGAGAGCTGCTTGCTGGGGCTGGGACCCGAGTGCACTCACCTTCGGAGGAGCCACATAGGAGCAGCACCAGGAGCCCCAGGAGGGAAGCCAGGACCAAGCTCTTGCTGCTGAAGCCAGCCATTTCCACTCCAGGCAGCAGCTCTGCTCCAGTGGGTGCTCCCTGTGTGTCCTGCTAGCCTTGCTGCACCTCCGCCTGCTTATAAAGGGGTGGCGGGAGCCGCGGGAATTCACAGGCGGGCGGGTTCCACTGTCATCAGCGGGTTTCCCCACGGCAAATTCCATTGTGCCCGATGCGGCCCCAGCACACCTTCCTGGTGCTATAACCGGAGATAACAGCGTGCTGGGGAATTTTTTTTTTTTAAAGTAGGTTATAAGATTCAGCCCAAAAGAAAAGGAAATAAAAGACTGTGAGGTAATGGTTCTGTGGGTGAACCATGTGTATTTTTAGGGGTAGGAGTGTGGGTTGTGAAATGAGGAAAGTCAAATGTAGGTAACTCTTGGTTACCTACAGAAACTGCATATCTGCTGTGCTCTAGTTTAATAAACCCAAACTGGGGGAGAGGGAGGTGGGCTTAGCCCAGCCATTTGTTTCAGTGTGGCCTGCTCACAGGAGCTGGGAACTATCTGCATGATACCAAAGTACTACATTCATATTTACTGGTTGACCCACACAGTCACATCAGGCTTTCCAGATTACTGCTTTCTGAGCTCCAGACTGTAGTATTGGTGGGGCCATGTGGGCAACATTGAGTATTCATGGAAACGGGTTTCCTTTTACCATATACTCACTGCCATCGCTTTCTGCCAGTTTGTTACATATCGGAACTATTTCATCTGAAACAGAGTTAGTTAAAAGCCATTTGAAATGGGGTCTTTATTTTCTTCTGAATCTGGCTGTTCAGAAGGCATTAATGCTGCTTCGTAAGCAGTAACTGCATCTTGCTGCTTTCCCACGCTGAACTGTACCCAAGTATTGTGACTCCTGAACATTCAGCTAAAACACACACAATCTTAAAACTGCCTCACATGGCTCAGGAGAAACCCCTGGAGAGAGGCTCTGTCATCGCTGCAAGCACGCTGTTTGAGCTGCTGCTGAAGGCTGTTACTTTGCAACACCATTTAGGGACCTGTGTGAAATGAATGTGGTGGCTGCAGGCCATGTCCTGGCCAGCTGGTGTACACTGGAGCTGCTACAAGCGCCAGGTAGTTATAGAGTAACCTGAGCTGTAAGGAGCTTCTCTTAAGGTACAGCTCAGGGACACGGTCATAGTCGGTTCATAATTACATACCTTCTGTTCTTCGCAGACTGCCAGTACCTCTCATGAAGGGTGCATCACTATTATTTCTTCCTAGAAATGTAAAAAAATAAAAAAAAAATTGAACTCTAGAACAGATTGTTATTCAGAGAAATTAATTCCCCTATATAATAATCAGAATTTAGGGAAGCTCATATGGCTGGGGTACATTCAAGTGGCCTTACAGAGTGTGTGGTGTGACATATGTTAGAGATGCTTCTCCTCAGGGCCACTGTCATTAACCAAGGGACAGGGGAAGAGGCAGTAAAGATCCCATGCCCTGATGTACACTACTTTTTGTAACTGCTTTATGGGTTATAGCGAAATGCCATAAAAATACATAAGGATCCGTGCTGTCAGGATGCAGCTATTTCTGAACTGTTTTAAGGCCTATCTGTCCGCGTTAGGCAATGCTACAAAATAGCTAACAAGAATGATAACACCCGAAATGATGGAAGTTTGGCTTGATAGCTTTTTTCTTTCCATAAAGATAGGAGTAGTTAAACATGAATCACTTATAACTATTTCTAGATTGATAGGTATCAAGAAGCATCAGGTTGTCAATAAGCAATTCTCCATCATTTTTTTTTTTTTTTTAACCTGGCTATCCAGTAACAACCTGGGATTTTTCATTTACTTATTATTTTTAAGCAGGAGTTCACACCATCCAGTCTCAATCAAGCAACCACCTTTAAGAAGATATGAAAATTAGGCATTAGGTTATCAACATGCATTCCTCCACTTCCACCCTCCTACTTCACTCTGGTGTCAATATTAGGAAAGTCTCCAGCCACTTTAACCATAGAACTTTCTAAGATTGTCAAGATAGTAACCATATCTCCTTATCCATGGATTAGTATCAAGAGCATCAAAAGCAGTAGGTAAACAATAATTTTAAAAATTGCTAACAAAGCCTTCTGAAAAAAAGAGATCAGTTTGTCTCCTCTCTTGCTAATGTACCTGTTACTCCGTAAGTTCACCTCTCCTCCATTACTTTGCAGACTTGGAACATAACTGATTAGGATGATTATAATATTTATTGATTAGGGATCACATCTTTTTTAAAAAAGCTAATACTTTAATTAACTAATAAAAACACCACTATTATTAGCAACATTACTTCACAATTATATAATTTCAAGTAATTGAGTTACCATTCTATTGCCTACTCTTAGTATTGATACAGTGATTACATTAATATATTGGTTAAATTATTATGAAGAAAACTGAAAAATCACTAGGAAGTGCTGTTAAATTGCAATTCTGCTTCCTTGTCTCCTGCACAGAGTATTATGGTAGGAGTCTATCCTTCCTTACAAGTTTATCCCATCTTACTCCCCCCCTCCCTCACTGTCTTTCAGACACAGACTTGCTGGAGAGTCTGGTGGGTTGTCCACAGCGGATGCCCCCAGCATCCCGGAGAGCTTGGGCCCACGGGCCAGCTTCACCACTGCCTGGAGGCAGCCACACACCTCATGTCACAAGATCCTCTGATTTCTTGCTCTTCTTTATACCTTATTCCCCGTTTTTTTCCTTTTCTTGAACCCACCTTTTCACCACCCCTGCATCTCCTTTCCTCTGCCCAAACTCCACCCAAATAAACAACTCACCCCTAATCCCTTTTCCTCATTGATCCCAAATCTATTACACCCATGCCCAACTTTGCCGTTTCTTATACCATTTCCTAGGCAATTACAGCTTAACACATGTTTACTGATAGTGTTGTCTAAATGGAGGTAGCCTTGCACCTCAAGTCTCCACAGCTCTATTTCTTCTCCATTTAGTGCTTTTTGGACAGCGTCTTCTCACCTGAACTTTGACACCCCTACCTGCTCCTAAGTAGGCAGGAGCAATTTGGATACCAGAGCAATAGCATCCCCCAGCTGGCGCTCACCCCACACTCCTGCCCGCCAGCAGTTCCCATCGCGGTGCGGGTTCCTGCCAGAGGCCACGGCTGCTGTTGGGCCCCGTGTCACAGCAGGACTCTTGCTAATGGCACTCATTTTATCTCATGGTTTATTTGATTAGGAAATCGGGTTAAGATTTACATTTAGAACAAAAGCCATCAGGAGGGCTCCAACACGAGGGGCCTTTTATTTTTATTTAGTGTGTATAAAGTACCTCCAGTCTATTTGCACAAAGTAGTTAAGAAAAAAAAATCAAAAAGAATTTAATGCAAATGGCTGAAGAAGGCCTGCAAGGCCCTGCTGTGACTCATAACCGTATCTTATCAGTCTTCACATTTACAAGTTCATAATGCAAACAGAAAGCAAAAAATATAAAAACAGGGAGGTGCTTCTGTGTTCAAGGGAAGTGATTATTCCCTGCGGATGAGAGGAAGGTGATTGTTGTCCGCCCTGACCCCACGGGACTTCCATTCTGGTTTCCTCTAGCACCTGCGTGATGGCATGGTGTCACCTGGACAGGCCAGGGGACAGCAACACAGGTGAGGGGCTGGGCTGCCGGCCTCCAGGTGGGCAATCGGAGCCTGTTCACGGGCCAGTTGTGGGTGGTCACGGCTGGGCCAACACCTTGTGTTTGATGTCCTAATACTGATGCGATGAGGAGGCTGTGGATGGAGTGGGGGACAGCGAGGGAGCCGCTGGGTGGGGGTGACCATTATTTCCCTGCACTGGGCCCACGAGACTGCATGGGCAGGGCTGCGCCCAGTCTGCTCAGAGGGGCACAGCCAAAACACAAGGCAGCAGCCACAAGTTGTGAGAAGGGAAATTCTCAGACAGTGAAAAACCCTCTTCATCACGAGGGGTGAAGCACTGGGACATGTTGCCCAGTAGGGGATGTGAAAGCCCCATTTGAATACCCTTGGAGAGACTCAGACCTCAACTGGCTGTGGCCCTGCTCTGGGCATGATCTTACCTTGGGTTCCTTCCCAAGCCACAGTCAAATCCACCATATTTTTTCTGTTTTTGTCATGTCTAACTCTTCTTTTCCTCTTTTAGGTTCCTAACTTATTTATCTCTTCCCGGCTTTCCTTTGTTGTAAGTTTCTCAGCTTCCCTCCCTCCTGTTTTCCCTCCCCAGATCCCCTCACAAACTCTGCTCTCCCTCCCTGCTGCTGCTCTCACTGTAAGACAAAGCGCCAAAACCCACAGATCAGCAAAGTTTTCAGCCTCCCCTAAACCTCCCCTCCTGTTGTTCCAGAGGGAACAGGCCAAACCTCTCCTCTATGTACTGTAAAAGATGAGGTGAAGACAGCCCAGATGCAACTGCTGTAGAGCTGTTCAGTTAGAGCTGTGAAAGGAAACACATCAGGGAAAACTGAGCCTTGTCCAAGGTAATATTGGGAACCTAATAGTTCCGAGCAGTTGGGGGAGGTTAAAGAAGAGAGCTGGGGAGTCAGACCACTCTCCAACACCAGCTGCAAAGCTACAGTCTCTCTGTCCCCACCTTCCCTGGTCACCAGGCTGCTGTCTCCTGGTAATATGTTTCCTCTCTTTTATCCCAAAGGCCTTTTACTCACAGAAGTATCTGCTGAAAATCCAAAGTGCTGAGGGGACTTAATAGTTCAACCTTTGTAAACACCCTATACCTGTGGAAAAATGGGCATTATTTCTGGGGGATGGGCTTGCTCCATCACTCTCCCCATTGCGGAGCAGCACAGAAGATGACCACCCGTTTTCCAAGTACACGTGGTGCTGTGTCAATAAAGCTTTGTCTATTTTCATTCAAAATCTTGCATGAGAAGCTGGCACATGGGAAATTCAGAACTGTACATGATTTGGAAAGCAGTTTGAAATTATTTGAAACTGTAGCCCCACAATGGTAATCTGTTTGACTGTGCAGCTCTGCTATGAGATCCCAAAACA